CCTGATGGTGACAAAACCTTGTTGAAACATTGTACATTTGCTGTTATGTTAAACTTATATTAAAGTTCTTCTTCATTACCCATTCAATCATTATTAGTCTCAAAGTGGGTTCCTCGTCATTGAAAAAGTGATTTTATTCTCGGCATACAATGCTTATACACAATACCTGCATAGAGGGCATGTGAGGGCCAGCGTAAGGTTTTGAAAATTAGATATTGCCGAGGGCAGTCGAGTAGGGAATATAAAGACTAGAGCAAATGAATACAAAGTTGGATGGCAAAGATAAAGATCAAGAAGTAGCTATTAGTGTCAATGGAGGTATGTATGTTTTGGAATAAGAATACACTTTAACTCTATGCACTAATTGTCAATCATGACAATATAGACAAACAGATACAATTAACTTTCATATTCAACTAAAGAAGTTCTGAGCAATAAATACTCTTTAGCTTGATACATTACAAAAACTTCTGTAGCCTATAAAAAATATGTTTAATATTTGCATTAATTAATATTTTAAACAGTATCATCCTCATTTTTGACAAAGATTAAGAAAAGAAACCACCTAAGTAATGTGATCACATATGTGACTTTAATTTCTAACATTTTCATATTGGCTTTAAAATACATTCATAATTCTGAAGGTTTAGACAATAAATTTTGTGCAACATTTACCATACGAAATAAGATGCAATGTCTGTCTTTGTAAATCTTGAATCCTTCTGACAAATTCTTTTGTTATTAGTAAAACTGAAAGAAATTATTGAAGTGCAACATACAAAATTAATTACAGCCTCATTTTTTGAGGTCATTAAAATTAAAATGTGAAGAAATACTAACCAGTAAATTTTTCTTATGATGATCATTCAGCAATGCTTGTAATCTTTCATTGTTCTCTTTCAAATGAGATATATCTTTGTCAAAACATTCCACCTGAGATACAAATTTCTTGGTAAGTTCTTGAACTTCCTGTTTCCATCTAATGCAAAAAAAGTATTTTAAGAATGACAATATTAAAATACCTCTAATTTAGATAAACTTATACTAAAGCAACAGAAGGTGTCACAACAATTCAGCTGTAATTTTGTTCAATGACAAAAACTAGGTTCATTACTTAATTTGTGCAACAGAGCTCTAAAACTCTAAGAAATGTATGTGTAAATACATTCATAACTTAAATAATTTTTCTTGAAGAAATTTCTCCAGTAAAACATTATAACTAATTTCATTCAAAAATATACCTAAGTAGGTTGGTCACCAAAATTCATGTTAGTGCTTATAGACAAATATAACCTGTAACAAAATGTTTTCTTGAAAGTTCAGTGATGAAGGACTCAGTATGGAGCCCAAAATCTCATTTTGAAACCAAGAAAACAGTAAAAGTCTAAAAAAAAACTCAATTCTCATATTTAATACACTGCTAAGTATGCTTCATAAGAATTTCATTGGGTAATTTAAGTGTTTTTGGTTAGTATATATAAAGAAATTATTTTTGAACAACATACAAGATAATTTACCTCCTACAGTGTAAAAATTTAATCACCAGTATGTAGGATAGACTCAAATAACTTAGAGTGTGTTTCAACAACAATAAATCTCATAGTAACACTGAAAAGAATCTCCTTGTTGCCCAACATTTCAACCAACCCACTCATCCTATTAATGATGTGATTCTCATAAGTATTGAAACTTATAGAGGAATAAAAGAAGCCTATTTGGATTGCCACTTTAAATACCATTCAACTTTATGGAATAAATCCATTAATTAAATTCCCAGTCTGACATACAACTGTTTTTTACTTTCTTGTGTGGTATTATTTCTTTATATTTTTTCTTTATCTTTCTTAGTACTTATTATTTATTTATAAAAATTGTCCAAATTTTTCTTTATCATTCCAGTTCAATATATTTAACATCTTTATTATACTTTATCAATACTCTTTATCAATGAGAAATTCCTCTTCTGGAGATGTTACAAGACTTCCATGCTTCTTATGTTTTGCAGTCAAGGATATCACATACAAATGTCTGGGATATTTTTTTTATTAACTCTTTGTGCATTCTTCCAGGTCCCATTTTATTGCATTTTTTTCATTCCCCTTGTTGAACATTTTGACCATGTCTTCTTTGAAACAGGAAATATACAGCTGCACATATACCATATTGTAGATGCTTTGCCAAATAAATTGAAAAATTCTCTATGTGTTCGAAGATGATACTTTGCTTGACTTGAGTCTGATGATCTGCTTGAGCCTGAAGCCTAAGATCATGTGGTATATGTTGCAATTGACCAGCTTCATCTTCAGGTGAATGAACCATTTGCTGAACCAAAACAGAATTTTCTTCTTGAGATAACAGAACTGTTTCAGTATCTTCAAATTCTGAAGACTCTGGATTGAAATGACGAGTTTTGGTATTGATGAATTCAATGCAATTATTGTCAATCATTTCAAGTGCATAACCCATTGCAAATGAAATGATATCTCTACTTTCCAATGAGAATTGGTAAACATGTAAGTCTTGAAGTGTTTTTGTTTTGAAGTATCTATGAGACTGATTGCAGAATTTTTTGGCACTCTTTGTCAACTTTATCCATTTCAATGTCTTCTGGACTCATGTTTCAAATGAGGGATTCAACTGATTGTGCTTTTTTCAAGCCTGGTGTCTTATGTTCTTCAAGTTTTGAATGTAAATGCATCCAGTAACCATTCCAATATCTTCTTCACATTCATTCTCAGCACTGTCGTCCTTTATGTCATCATCACTGGCAAAAAGTTCTTGGGAATTCTCATCATCAGGTTCAACTGTATCATCATCTTCACCATTTTTAACATCTGAATCATTTACCAGTTCACCAGTTGCATATTCAGCAACAGTATCCATGAAAAAGTTGGGATTACTGGCATCTTTCATGTCAATCATTTTATAACTCATTGATGAGTACTCACATATATGGATTTCGGAATCTAGAAAAAAAGCTTCATTGATTCATTTGATAGCCCTGAAGAACTTAAATGAATTCTCAGCTTTCATCATGAGTTCTTCAATGTGTTTTCTGTTTAATATAAACAGAATTGGAGCTGAATTTTGCAAACCACCACTGCTTAATAAAGCATGAACTAGTTCAATGGGAGATATGACATTGTTACCCATATTCACAAATGCCAAAACATGTTTCATCACCATTGCAAAGTGGGCATCAATAGAACCTTTGCCATTTTAAGTCTCAGTGTGCATGCAAGATTTTATTTCAATTGAATAAGCTTTCACTACAAGGTACATTCTGTATAAAAGATACCCATTTTGGTAACATATTGCATTGTCTGATTGGACATACAATATTTTCCAAACATATGAAAAGTCCCTCTTCAGAAGCTTAAAAACACCTTTAAAAATTTACAAAACAGCCATCCAATCTTGTTTGGAATCACCAGATGAAATGTGATCATAATAACTAACTTAATACTTAGCATCATGATTACCTGTTGGATTTATGGTATATACCATAGAACCATGCCATGACAATCCTTTCTTTCCACAATGTTCAAATGTTTTCTCAAGAAAGTATACCAGATCATACTTCATTTTATAGTCCATCACCAGCCAAATTCTCATGCTGAATGTGATCTCTCTTATTAATAACTCAAATTCGATGCCCCATATACAAACCTGATTCTGTATTCACAATCTTTCAGTAATTCATAATGGACATGATTTAGCTTTTGTCGGAATCATTTCATGACATGGAATGGGAGTTGGCATCTATTGCATGGACCATACCTTAGCAAGTGGCTTCAGTAACCCAATGAATATGCCACATCATGATTTGGAGCACAGCCAAAAGCAATATGCTGATCGTATTCATACTTTATAAAATTTTAAGATCTATGAACATCCTTCATGCAACTTGTGTGGCTTGGAATATCATCAACGGTATCACATATTTTATGTATTAATTCAAGGTTGACATATAGAAGAATACACAATGAGTAATCCACAGCCTTCTGACCTTTCATATCAAATATTGTCAAACATCTTAATACTTTCATAAATGCTGTGTATCAAATTCTACATATTCATTCAGCATTATCAGTAATGTAACCTCTTTAAATATATTTGGATATAGTTTTCGAGTGAACTTGGGAAAATAGCACTTAGCCCCATGAAGTACAATTTTTTTACTGCCCCATGATAAAACCTTAGCATTTTTTGGCGATAAAATGAATTCAATGACCGATTTTGTGACATCTTCATTAAATCGTGCAACACAGCGAGTTGGAATAGTTAGTTCCATTCCACAGAGAAGACACTGAAAATGTTGTCGAGCAGATCTCACCATTTTGATTCCAATACCTAACATATGCTTTGCAGCATCCTTGTAGCATGCCATAACAAAGAGGTGCAATCATAACTTTTTGTTGCAAACGTTTTTTAGGTAATGCTGCTTGTGCTTTCACAATGGATGACACTAATTTGTTGTGAGCCTTTACTGATTCCATTTCATTCGTGTTTACATGCGTAACCACTGCAAGCAGCAGACCCTCGGGATCATTTGGTACCAAAATTTGACAAAGAGTGTGTAATAGTAACACACAAAAAGGTAACAAGTCAAATTCCTTTCACAGGAATTGCTATTGAATTTGAAATGCAATCGTCATTCAAATCAAAAAAAGTCTCTCACAGATATAAGATTACATGGTAGATGATTTCTCTTGCTAGTTTTACATCTTTTTCTTTGGGGACCAGATGGCACATCAGTATATGCTTCATCAAAAATGCTAGTATCATTATCCAGTTGATTTGGAGTTGACTCAGATGAAACACCATTATTGTTATCATCTTCATCATGGATTGTTGTTATGGGAGATTAGGTCATTTGTTCTTGTCGAAGGTTGATTCAATGATCCAATTGCAAATTGCATTTTTTGTTTGCTGGATGGTTGTTTCCCCCTCCCATTTTCATTGTAATTTAATTTTCAGGTGTTAAACCATCACAAAAACATTGACAATGAGGACATTTTGAACAGATTGAGCATTTTCTAACTTTACAATTTTTTTCACATCCTATACTAAACATGCATGAGATTTTTTGTTGATTGCTAAATACTCAGGTTGCCTAAAATTTCAACAGTGATGCGAATCACATTTTCTTGGCAGGCTGAATATGGTGGTCTATTTTAATTGGCTAAAAACAAAATGCCTGAAATGGTTTGAAAAAAAAAAAAACACCAATGAGAAACAGTACTTCTGGCTGGCAATGTCAGTGTTAAATTTAACAATCATACAAAAGGTAATGTAACAAAATATGTGACTAGGAAGTAGCTATTATTATATGAATTGCTTATTGTTAAAATTCTGCTGATCATATAAAACTATAACTCAAAAACTGATATACATATATAGATGGAACTTCGTTACTTACTTCTTGCTCAACTTCTGCTGTGCATCTAGCAGAGTAACAAGTTCAGTAATAGAAGCTTGATGAGATTCCTCTTTTACCTTTGAGTTTAGCTGATATTTCTGTTCAACTTTCTCTAACTGTGTTCTATGGACAGTCACCTGAAAATTTTAAGTCATGTTACAACAAAATAAACCTCTAAAGTTTTTGTCACACTGACAAAACAAATTCTAAAGCAAGTTATCAAAACATGTTAAATTAGATTCTGTATCAAAAAACAAGTAGCTTTTAAAAAAATCCATACAAATTAAACAATTTTTCTTCAGTTCTTCGCATTATATAGCTGCACAATAGCAGATATATCTCTCTCTTTGGTTAACTTGTGTTCAGGGTTACTTATGAGGAGTGGAATTCTCCGAAACTAGTATAATCCAATAACTCACATTGATCAAAGTGTAGACTGAACTGGACCTCCCTTGAACTTAGACTTTGAAATTAAACAATTTTTGGAATACTAAGTATATTTATTATGATCAAGAGGGATACCCATCTGGAAGACAAGTTGGATTCTGTAAGTTCAACTGTCACATATCTCAAGAAGCTGGAGAATGAAATAACAGGTGTTCATGCTATTCCATACGAAACAATAATGGTACAGTCACCAGATGCAGAGTGTATACATGTCTGTGCAATTAGACTGTTGAAATGGTTACTGGGAAATCATTGTCCTCAACACTAAATGGATTATAAAAAAGATGCATGGAAGAGTGGTGTGCTTTTAACAATATAGCCTTTTCCAATGGAAACTGTGTTGCATGGCTATTGTCAAGATGCATGGTTATCAGTTAGAGCATGTGGCAATAGGAGTTGTAATGACATAGCAAAACTCCAAAACTGTTTCAATATAACATACTCAACCTCAGACTTTTTAATAAATATTTACAAAAGCATTAAACTGTAGTATTTTAAAAATAAATGAAATTCTTCAATCTTGAAGAAAAGTTTTATTTTCCAAAATTACTCACCTGATATGAAAAAGAAATGCTCGATTTCATCTATTTAGTTTAATTAATTAAGGTGGTTCATTCTATATTAGGTCAAAGTATATTACAATTGTTAAAAAATGTCAGAATAAAATATAAACAAAACCAAAATAATCAAATGTTTTGTAAGGCAGTCTCAAGACCTTTCTGTGTTGAAACTTTCAAACACAATCAAAGTTTTAGAATAAGATGAATAAAATACTTGGGATTAAACACGTTTAACTATTCTCATTTACAGAATGTTAAAATGGGTTGTCTTCTTGATTTAACAAAAAAACCTATGTGAAAGACATATTTATAAAACACTTTTGTCAGAGAAAAAAATTTAAAACTAAAATATATGAAATATATATATATATATATATGATTCTTCACTAGTTAAATCAGTAGACTCCAATTTGAATATTCATAAAATACAGCAATATGTTAAAATTATAAACTTAATAATTAGATACAGTCTTCTATCCTAACAATCTTTGAAATATATATTTTGTGGAATTACAAGATAACCAATGTTTTAAGAAACATGTCTATTTACAGCAAAAAATTCAAACCTCTTTTTCATATTTCTTCTTTAACAACTTTGTTTCTTCTTCAAGAGATTGGCAGTTATGGCGAAGTTTCTCTAAGGAATTGGCAAGATGAATTTTTTCTGTGGATACACTATCGAAGTCAGACTGTTTCTTTTTTAGCCACTCTTTGAAACAATTGTTCTCATTTTTATAATGTGTAATCTGTTGTTGATGACTGTGAAAAATATATACAAATAATGATTAAGTGTATTTATTTCACTATAATGCATTAACAAAATTAACTCTGATACTTTTTCTTATTTTCCGCCCAACACTATTGCTGACCTAATAGCAGATAAATATGATGTTTAAGACTGCCTCAGTGTACAACTTTGTTCATTATAAAAAGAGAGATGAAAGTTTACATACAATCCATACATGTATGCTGATTTCTAAGGTTGGAGAAGACAACAATTTTCAGTTATAAGAAACAAAAGATGGCTTTTTCCAATTATGTGAGTGGTTTGAATACTCGCTGATTATGGTTTAAAAGTTTGTAGTCAAAGTCTTTGATATGATGTAAAACCCAGGATTCCTTAATTTACGTGGGCATATTTAAATCCAACAGATATATGCACATCAAAGTTAAAAGTATTAACAGGAAACCAAGGACAGTTTAAGGAACATTTATGATTCACATTAAAGAAAAGTTTATATTTAAATATGCAAGGAACTAATTAGTTTAATTCTCATGATGTTGGCCTGAAAACCCGATAAAATAGATCAACATTGTGGAATATTTTGGTATTAGGTTCTCTAAGAATCTGACAAACTCAGACAAACCTAACATGCTGATTATAAGCATAAAATGTTGCCTTACTTGTATTAGACAGCACTTAAATATTGCTCCTTGTTTGCTTTAATGGTTCAGAACTTAACTGCATATGTTTTGAAAAATATTAAATAGACAAAACATCTTCATACAAATACCTTTTCTTTATCCGTTTTAATTCTGCTTCTAAAGATTCCAGCCTCAGAATAGCTTCATCTCGTAAACGTTCTGCCTTTGTTAATCTATCTGTCAGACTGTTCAACAGAACGTTGTTTTCTGGTCCTTTACTTGTACCATCCTTATATACAGCTTCTAACTCTAGTTCCACTGATCGTTTCTCACGAATAGCTCTTTCTATTTGAGTTTGTTTGTTGGTATTTTCCTACAAATGAAATATGGAATAGAAAAAGATAACACAAATTAATGCCAAATAATGTTTTTTCAATAGGCACAACTAAACTATTTGTTTATTTTGTTCGCTATAAGAAACCAAACAGTTGAACTTACAAATTTTAAAATAACTTCATAATAACCAGTTTTTTACAAGAAATTTAATGGTGCTATTTATTTTGTATTTGGTGTAATATTTAATGACGAAATTGACAATTAATGATTATTACACCATTTGTTTGTAATAAACATACAAACAGAAGCACGTTTTGCACATAGAAAGCGTTATGGCGGGAGACACTCAGATCACCTTGCTGTCAATTCAATATTTCCAAAAACAGTTTTCTTTAAATAGTGCTAAGT